GATGGAGCTTATGACATATCAGATAAAAACTGTAATGTTTCCAGTAAATAAGAATGAAGGGATCTCTGCACAGTAATCTAGTAACGGGATTTCCTCTTCTAAAATGAAGTCGCAAGAAAACTTGTATGGCTTGCCAGTAATTGAATAGTCTTAATTAAAAATTTCTGTACTAATATTGAATGTATTCCGAGAGACTTCAAACAACCTGTAGTAAATGACAACATTCTCCAAGATAAATAAAATAATCTCATGGTTATTAAATTGCAATACTGAAAGAAATTACATCTCATGTTAAGAATAAGGTGGCAAAGAAATAATACAATTATGTTCTGGTTTATAATTTAGGATATTAATGAGCACAAGGAGAGATAATTACCAGAATTAGCAAAGTGAGTCTCCTAGAAAGGCTTGTCTGGGAGTGAGTTGAATGGAGGAGGCTGTGTTGGTGGGGCAGATGGAGCAATAGCTTCTTAAATTTGCTGCCTCTATAGGAACTTCAGTTCCATCTTTACACTCCAAGGTGACAACTTTATACACATCCCACAGTTCTCTTTATCTTATTCTCTATATTAAAGCACTAGGCACAATTTCAGTTATGTTCCTGGATCTTAAATGATAATGAGTAAAACACAAACCTAACATCATGAGGTACAATGGGGACAACAGAGATTCTTTAAAACCTGAATATCTATAGTTTACTTAAAGCATTTATTTATCTTAGCTGAGCGGATTCACTGCAACTGTTGCTCAGCTATATAATTTAAAGAGGTGGGCAAAGCTTCTTAATTATTAGAGACTTGAATTTTTCACTGATTTATTCCTTCATCTGATCATTTATTTCTCCATTGTTCCTTTTACCGATGTTAAAACCTCCCATTTTATACAGTAAAGAAGTCTCCCATAGGTCAGAGAGGAAACTTAAAAATACACCCTTCAATTTACATACTTCACATAAATAAATTAATGAATCAATCTATTTTGGTTTTCCAAAGGAATTCAGCCCCCTGCTGAGCAGTGTCAGCCTCATTCTGTCTCTTTTGTTCTGACTAGGAAATGCTTTCCTAACTCTGCACGTGCAGCTTTCTTGAGGAACATCTGCCGGCTTAGAAAGGCGTCAGTGGAAGAAGCAATGCAGTAGAAAGAGAAAGGAAGAAATCTTTTGAAACACTTAGAACAAAGTACTTAATGTGATGCTCTCCTCTAAAGAAGACACTCCAGTTTGAGCTAAAGGACACCATAACTGCAGAAGAGTCTGTGCTATGGGGCAACCCTTCTGTAAACCTTGAATATATTTTGCTTTCACTGGTTAATAAAGAAACTATTGTTCTGTAGGAAAGTGAGGAAACAAGACATGAGAAATTGTTGTGAGCCACCTTTTGGAGTGATTTCTGCCATGGTTCAGCCACAGCGGGTTCATACATTCCAGGATAGGGTCATGAGGATTAGAAATACTAGTTAGGAAGAACAAATACAAGAAAGAGAAAGAAACACAGAGACACAGGATAGTAATGGGAAGGCAACTCAGCAAATATCAAATGCAAAATTCTGAGTTTGCCCGCGTTTATTTTTCTTACACTTTCATGCCCCAATACAAGGGGAGTGGGGAGAAGGTAAAAGGCATCTCTCACTGACACAAAGGAATAGACTTGAATTCTGTGACTAACTAACTACACCCTTGGTCAGAATCTCCCATTTGTAGACACACCTGTTTCCAACAACTTTCAGAGAGCAAAAATAAGCTCAAACTCTCTGACCTTCAGACAAGGTGGAAGGGGCTCACATCTGTGTGTGCCCTGACAAGCAATGTACCAAAATATAGATAAGAAATATAGATTAATTTAAGTATAAAAATTAGCTAGTAATAAGCCTGAGCTATTGACCAAGCATTTATAAATAATATTAAGCCTCTGTTGAAGGCGTAAGTCATAAACAATCCCACACCAGTTTTGAATTATGATTAATAGAATGGTTATTTATTCAAAGAGGAAAAAACTTACAGATTACCGTCCCAAACAACAGCCCCTCTGCGCGATCAGGAAAGGAGTCTAGGAGCCGGAAGCAGAGCCAGAAGCCAGAGAGAGTGGAGGACAGTCACTGCTTTTTTAAAGAGAGAGAGGCCACGCCCCAATGGGCTGGTATCTCAGCAGCTATTGGCTGAAGGAGCGGAAGGAGCTCCTGCAGCGCTCTGTGTTGGTTATTTAGAAGCAGGTGGTCTGGACAGGAAATCTCTGTACACAAGTTGGCAGTCCAGTAATGTTGTTTCCTTAAAGTTTTTGGGAATCCACTAAACACTATATGCTTTATATCCCTAATACTTAACCAGAAAGAAAATGAGAATTCCCCTGAACAAAGCATGGACTGCAGGAGTTATACTTAGAAGTTGTCAGGGTAGATGGAAAACAAATGTAATATCAGTAACATGAAACACCAGAACCTAAACAGTATTGTGAACATTCAAGTCTTTAATGGAACATTTGGTCCTGAGAAAGCCTTGCATGCAATCAAAATATACATATTAAAAATATTGAAGTTGTTACAAAAGTCAAGGTTGATCCTGGATCCTAAAACTTGCCTGGCTTCAACTAATCTCAATTCTATGGCATGTAGCATCCCAGAAGGAACATGTGAGACATTCAAATTAGGTAATCTGAACATAATTTAATATTGACTGTATTCATAAAAATGCAGACAGGATACACATAACATTTAATGGTAGCATAGTACACTGTTGTTTATAAACTCAGATGCACAAAAAGTCACTTTTTAAAAAAACGTTTTCATGTTCTATATGCTTTTTTATACTGCCATTTGATAGTCTTCTCATGCAATGACAGTATCTATGCTTGCTTTCTTTGTGTCTAGAACAATTTTTAAAATGAAAACAAAAGATACTATGTGAGTCCTCTAGTTGAATGCTAAAAGGCAATACAGTCCGCAAGTTGTCCTGAAAAGGTCTTTGCTCTAAAGAAGGCTGTGTGTAGAGGAATGTAGACCCTGAGGTCCAGTACAGATTCCAAGCAGATAGTCAACCCTTGTCAGCCATGGGGAAAGCTTTCTTGAAAATAGATTCACTGAACTCAAAGTCAGCAGTTCCATCACATGTGGCAAAGCTGGTGTCCTGCTTGTTCTTAGTTTTGAAAATTAATGGTTATATTTTTAACTTTCTAGGTTTGTAGGTAGTTTGCTACAGTAATAAATGAGAACTGACTCCCTTTGTCTCTGGAGGAGAGAAGGGAGGTTTTGGTTCCTCAGCCCCCCAGAGGTAGAAAGACAGGAGAAGGGGGGAACAAATGTACACATCTCACCAGCTTCCTCCTGATAGACTCCTGCTGGCACTCTCATCTACTGAGCCCAATGGGATGCCAGAGGACTGGGGTGCCTACTGATCTGATCCAGGCAAGTTCACCCCAGGAGGCGCAGAGAAGTACAGAAAATGGTACAATGAAGAAACCCAGCTGACACTCTCTCAACTAACCTTCAGGGCACTAAGAAATACAATCTAAGACAGGTTGACATAGGGCACACCTATGAAAAAGATACTGTTTTAATTTGATTGCTTCTAATTCTGCTATACATGTCCCAATTTCTTTAGAATATCATCCACAAGGATGTCACCCACATGGATCTATAGATATTAAATAGATCAATATGCATGTGAGAAATGTAGATGTGGATTAATATACCATCCTGTCAAGATATTATTGGTGATTAATGTCATTTTTCATTTTTACTTTTCTGTATTCCATGCACTTTGCTTTCTATAAGGAAGAAGTATAACTCTGGATGTTTTTCAGAGTTGTTACACAAATGAAAAGCAAGAGTCAGTCAACTCAAACAGACTTTGAAGTATAAATGTCCCTTCTTGGTTTAAATGAAAACTGTTGTAGGAGTGAGTGAGTCCTTTACCAAGTGATATAATTTTAAAGACTTCATGAAAGGCAGGCTTTGATGGGAGTGAAAAGGAAGGCTTTTGTGGATAAATGAAAGGGGAGGTAGAGGCGAAAAGGTACAGTAAAATCACTGAGCTGGGGTCTGAAAGAGAATAGTTTCTTAGTACAGATGTGTGAATATTCCAGCGCTGTGGAGGGAGGAACGGCTGCTCGAACAAGGATATCACTGGGGAGCACCAGGAGGCCTCTCAGCCTGCTCAGTCTAACATGTATTTGCTCACATCAAACCCTATTCTCTCAGTTGCTTGGCTGCATGGTTCTTCAAGGTGTTTTTGATGTTATCTAAGAAAGGCCCTAAACCCTAAAATTTAACAAAAGGTAACCCCGAATCCTGTAGTTTAAGAAGCACAACTCTAACACAAAGACACTAATTTTAATTTTAATCTTCATTATCAGGTAACAGGATGGCTGAATACCAGTTGGGAGGCCTCCAGAGTGCTTGTACATGAAGCACATTCACTCTGACTGTACTCAGGGCTTCTGAGAGACACTGTCCACAGAACCTGGAGTTACATTTTTGGTTGTTTAGAAGAATCTTATTAAATATTTCTTCCAAAGTAGTAATCCAGGCTTTTGAGAGCCAGCGTGACACTTAAATGAATTATTCATACAAGACTCTGTAAGATGGGGAAGTTTCCTGCCAAGAGATGCACAGCGGGGGCTGCTCGGAAACTGAAATTGGTACGTGTAGAAGGGCGGATGGAAAGATTTCAAAGAATGATCTCCATGCTTGGTGGGGAAAATCCTCTAGACCTTTAAACACTGTTTTCATGGCAGTGAGTTTCCTAAAGGCTTTGCTTCTCTCCTGCTATTCTCTGTCATCATGAAGAAGCCCAGTGCTAAAACACTGGCCTCTTCTATCCTGGCTTAATTAGAATAAGAAAGGAGTTACAAATAGGCCAATCAGTTCTGAAAGGATGTGCTGGCATTTCACTGTAAGAACTGGTTCTTTCAATTCTGGGAGATGAGAGGGTTTTGAAAGGCAATGTCATTGTAATGGTGGGAAGACTGCATCTTAAACAAACAAGCAGGCTGCACTTGGCCACTTACCTTCCTTAAACCTCAGACAGGAAAACTAACTTCAGCTCTAACATGAAGCAATAGTACAATGATGATTGCCAGTCCAAGGATTAAAGTCTTTGAGTCTTCCGCACATTTGCAGGATTTAGGACTTTGATGCAGCACTATGGATCTGAAAATGAATAAAGCATATGTCACTGATGGTACATTCAGCTGAGCGGCAGTGAGTAAGCTCACGACTGTGATAAAAGAAGTCAGCCCCGAGTAAGCAGTTAGAAGAATAAATACAAACCGTAGATATTACTTATCTGGTCAAGCCATACAATTCCAGGGTGAACAGATCATTCAGCACTGAATAGTCCTGATAATGCCACTATGAATAATGCAGACAGCCAGCAGACCAACGAGGCCATCATTAATGCAAAGCTACTCCATGCCTCTGAAAATGTTCTTTTTATTTTAATTTATGTCTTTGAGAATGTCAAATACACACTATTCACAATTAGAGTGGAGAGCTTAACAGCCGTTTATTCTAATTCAGTCTCAATTAGGGATTTGGTGGCAAGTACTCTTTTCTTTCAGCAAAACACAGTGTGATTGCCTGTAGGTTGCTATCCTAATTCTGGTAATATAAGAAACTTTAGCTGGAAAGTCATGAAAGTATACCTGAGTTTGAGGTTCCTGCTCTATCTAAAATGTCCCTAAAGAGTGTATGTGTCATCTTTGGAGAGACACCACGGTGACTGCTATAGTGAGCTAATGCTGTGTGTGCATCATCTTTGGAAAGATACCTCAATGCTCTGCTATGTTCAGACTGTACAAACTCTTCCCTGGCCTCTAATAATACTCCAGGACCAAGATAGTCAACAGACAACAGCAAGATGAAGATGCACAATGACCATAACAGTGGACAATGGGATGAGCAAATGGGGACAGAGTAAAGTGAAAATGCACACCAGTGCTCTGTGGAAAATGTTTGGAGGTCTGAATGACTTTTGGGTGTTTCTCTTAAAGAAAACATAATGAGGCTGGGGAAACAGTTCTGTCTTTTAAGTGTAAAAACATCAGAGCTCCACAGATGCTCAGACCCCATGGGAAAATCTGAGTGTGGCACTGTCTGCCTGTGACTTCAGTATTGAGCAAGCAGGCTAAACATAAGAAGGTTCCCAAAGCTCATTGGAAGCCAAGCTCATCTAAAGGGATATGCTACAGGTTGATGATGTGGCATTGATTCCCCTCAGCATGCTATGATTATGCCTCATTACCATTGGTTAATAAAGAAGCTGCTTTGGCCTATGGCAGGGCAGAATATACGTAGGTGGGGAAACTAAACTAAATGCAGGGAGAAAGAAGGCAGAGTCAAGCAGACACCATATAGCTTCCAAAGGAAAAAGATGCCAGAACCATACTGGTAAGCCACAACCTCGTGGTGATACACAGATTAAAAGAAATGGGTTAATTTAAGGTATAAGAGTTGTCTAGAAGTACGCCTGAGCCATTTGCCAAACAGTATTGTAATTAATATAGTTTTGTGTGATTATTCAAGTCTGGGTGTCCAGGATATGAAAAAGTGGTCTCTATTTACAAAACCCATTTGAATGAATGTACTACAGATTAAACTAAAGAGTTTGTCTCAAAAATAGTGATGGAGTGTGAACAAGTCAAGACACCAAATATCAACCTCCGGCTATACCATAAAAATAAAATAAAATATAAGACATACACACATACACACACATACACACACACACATACACACACACACACACACACACACACACACTGTTGTAGGACAATGGACTCATACACTGTAAAGTTTTGTAAGTTGCATTGGTTTCATAAAATGCTGATTGACCAGTAGTCAGGCAGGAAGTAAGGTGGGGCGACAAGAACAGGAGAATTCTGGGAAGAAGAAAGGCTGAGTCTGCAGTCATCATTCAGACACAGAGGAAGCAAAATGAGACTGCCTCGCTGATAAGAGATACCAAGCAATGTGGCTAGTAGAGACAAGAATTGTGGGCTAATATAAGTTATAAGAGTTAGTAATATGCCTGAGCTAGTAGGCCAACCAGTTTATGATTAGTGTAGACCTCTGTGTGTTTCTTTGGAACTGAACAGCTGCAGGACCAGGTGGGACAGAAATCTCAGGCAACAATGGCTCCCAACTTGAGGCAGCATCCACATAAAACCTGAGAGATTTTGGGAGGTAATTTTAGTTACAAAACAACAAAGTTAAGCACAGCTTTTTTGTAGCAGCATTTTCTTGGGTGGGTTCTATTTACTTGCTGCAAGTACATCTCATTTAAGAAAGGCTTCCTGACTCAGCTTTAGCTGAAAAAACCTTGCAGCCCGTTTAAGAGGCTCTGCCACAAACCACTTAAATGGTCTTTATGAATAGCCAACAGCATGCTTCTTGGTGATGGCAAGGACCTTGAATCTCCATAGAGTTGTGACAATAAACATGACTTCCACTAGTACCTCCGCCATGAAGCTAGACTCTCAGAAAGGTAAGGAATGGGGTGGATCCAGCCCTCAAAGCTATGGCTTTAATCCTAGCCATATCACTTAGCAAATTAAAGATTCATGTGATCAGAAAAAAACAGATGTACAGTAAAGATAGATTTAGACAAAAAGAAACCTCTAAATGGTTTACAGTGTCTTTAAAAATATGTGTAGACTTGGGAGAAAAAAGAAAAAGGATCACGTCCTTAAAAAAAAAAGAAAGAGAGTAGTTGGGTGTGAAAGCACACACCTTTAATTCTAACACTTGGGAGGAAGAGGTGCAGGAGGGTCTTCCTTATATGTGTTGCTTTCAAGAAACTGCCTTGGCCTTTTGATAGGGCAGAATTTAGATAGGTGGAGTAAACTGAACAGAATGCTGGGAGAAAGAAAGCAAAGTCAGGCAGACGCATGGCCCTCCTCTCTGAGACGGACACTGGTTAGAATTATGCCGGCAAACCACAATCAAGTGGCAATACACATTAATGGAGATTGGTTAAATTGATATGTGAGAGTTAGCCAATAAGGGGCTGGAGATAATGGGCCAGGCAGTGTTTAAGTGAACTCAATTTGTGTGTTGTTATTTCGTGGTGTAAGCTAGCCAGGCAGCTGGGAGTCAGGTGGTGGGAAGTGGCCCACTGCTCCTTTTACAACAAGGAAGATCTCTGTGAGTTCAAGGACAACCTGGTCTACAGCGTGAGTGTCAGGACAGCCAAAGATAAACAGAGAAACCAAGCCTTAAAAAAACAAAAATTAAAAATAAAAGCCCTTCCCCCTGGGGCCATAAAATTTCCCCAGCTCAGCTCCCTTGCACACAGGTAATGGAAACAGTTCAAGACTTGAAAACTGAAATGGAGGCAATGAAGAAAATGCAAACCGAGGGCCAGCTGGATATGGAAAATCTAAGTAAATGAACAGAGACTACACAATCAAGCATAACCAATAGAATATAAGAGATAGAAGAATGAATCTCAGAGTCTGAAGACACCATAGAGAAAATAAACGCTCTGATCAAAGAAAACGGCAAATCCAACAAATTCTCACCACAAAACATTCAAGAAATCTGGGACACAATAAAAAAACCAAATTTAAGAATAATAGGGATTGAAGAAGGAAAAGCATTGCAGACCAAAGGCCCAGAAAATATATTCAACAAAATTATAGAAGTAAACTTTTCCAACCTAAAGAACAATATTCCTATGAAGGTTCAAGAAGAATACAGAACACCGAATAGACTTGATCAAAAAAAAATCCCCTCACCATATAATAATCAAAACACAAAATGTTCAGATTAAAGAAAGAATATTAAGAGCTGCAAAGGAAAAAGTTCAAGTAACTTATAAAGGTAAACCTATCAGGACTTCTCTATGGAAACCATGAAAGACAGAAAGTCCTGGATAGATGTACTGCAGAAACTAAGGGACCATGGATGCAAACACAAACTACTATGCCCAGCCAAGCTATCATTCACTATCAATGGAGAAAACAAAATATTCCAGGATAAAAACAAATTCAAACAATTCATAGCCACAAGTCCAGCCTTACAGAAAATAATAGAAGGAAAATTGCACCCAAAGAAGCCAACACTGCCTACAAGAACTCAGACATCTAGCGACCCTTCACAACCACAACTTAAAGAAGGGAAACACAAAACTCTACTAAACACAAAAAAATAAAAATAAAAAAATAATAACCGGAGTCAACAACCACTGGTCATTAATATCACTTAATATTAATGGACTCAACTCACCTATAAAAAGGCACAGACTAAGAGAATGGATACGAAAACAGGATCCAGCATTCTGCTGTTTACAAAAACACACCTCAGCCACAAAGACAGACATCTACTCAGAGTAAAGGGTTGGGAAAAGGTTTTCCAAGCAAATGGACCTAAGAAACAAGCGGGTGTGGCCATTCTAATTTCCAACAAAATTGACTTCAAACTAAAATCAAACAGAAGAGATGGAGATGGACATTTTTAACTCATAACAGGAACAATTCATCAGGAGGAAGTCTCAATCCTGAATATCTATGCCCCTAATATAAAAGCACCCACTTATATAAAAGAAAAACTTCTAGAACTCAAGGCAGTCATCAAACCACACACACTAATAGCAGGAGACTTCAACACACCTCTCTCACCAATGGACAGATCAATCAGACAGAAACCTAACAGAGAAATAAGAGAATTAATAGACATAATGAATCAAATGGACTTAACAGATATCTATAGAACATTCCACCCAAATAGGAAAGAATATACATCCTTCTCTGCAGCTCATGGAACCTTCTCGAAAATTGACCACATACTCAGTAACAAAGCAAACTTCCACAGATACAAAAAATTATTAGTAACCATCTGTGTCTTGTCAGACCACCATGGATTAAAGTTATAATTCAACAACAATGATACCCCCAGGAAGCCAACAAACTTATGGAAGTTGAACAGTCAACTACTAAATCACCCCTGGGTCAAGGAAGAAATAAAGAAAGAAATTAAAGTCTTCCTTGAATTTTATGAAAATAAAGACACAACATATTCAAACCTATAGGACACTATGAAAGCAGTTCTAAGAGGAAAGTACATAGCACTAAATGCTCAATTAAAGAAGAGAAGAGAAAGCACAATTTAGCGATTTAACAGCACACTTGAAAGCTCTAGGAAAAAAAAGA